TGCTGCCCAATATACATGTATGCTAATAGATCACTACAAAAAGAGGGTAAGAAGGGAAGGAAAATTCAGTGACTTGCGTTAAGATTTTACATACTGAATCAACCATACATGTTTAACACTCAACTACAAGTAGATAGTTGAACAAGTGTAACTGTCTACATGTATGAAAAAGTATTGAATTATGTAAGGTTCAAAATGTGGGTTTTTAGCTACTGTGCACAACTAAAGGATTTTTTTTTACATTTTGGTAACCGTTCAGCTATAAACTTTGCTCAGGTCATAATAACTGTTCCAATCCTACTAGTAGTACAACTAAAGGCTTGCTTACTGATTGCTGATAAAACACTTAAAAAACATATTCCCAGGCACTTAAGCTAGTAGATAAAATGCAGTTAATATTCAAAGTACAAAACTACAACTGTCTGTTATAATAAGTGGTATATATATATATACACATGTAGTAAGGAGTAGTCTCTTACCTTAGAAAGCTAGAAAAAGAAGCTACAACGTCCACCGACTATACTGTCTTGCATTAAAAGAAGTCTTGGTGCTCCTTGAAATGTGAAACCTTAGCCGTTAGCGGATGTTTGCTAAGGGCTCTGAAACAACAATCTCGTTATCTGCTTCACTAACCTGCAAACTGCTTTACCAAATCCAAGAGGTCTATTTTTGCTCTCTGTCAGCAACTTTGTGCTAAAAAAAGCAGCAGCTATCTCCTTCCTGTTGGAGGAAACTAGTTCTCCAGCCAGGCAACAGGAGGGATGTGGTCTTCTCATTCAGGGAAGCATCTGTCAGTGGTAGTGTGGGATATTCCATTTTCACAAATTATAGGAGGACAAGATCTGTAGGATTTTTTTCAGTCATGGTTATAGATTTCATTTAATCATGGATGAATCAAAGAAGAGAATTCACCGGTCAAATTTTTATTCTGACTCATTAAATGCTTGATTTGCCCCAAAAAATTCAGTTGAGTTGAATTATGACTAGGAGGAAAATTTATGATTTTTACATTGTAATCATCAGTTCTCATTGTTAATATAATTGTTTCCTGAAGAAAAGTTTTGGTTTGAATTTAGAATGGCCATGCATTGTGCATCTAACATCTTTCTTTTACCAAAATTTGCCTAATGATTTGGATGTTGAAATATAAAATTGAAAAAAAAAGTTTTTAGTAGTTTGCATTTACATGTAGAATGGCCATTGATAATAAAACATGTTACCAAATTTTGTCTATGATCATGTTTTAAATCTTAAACCTTTCAGCACTAGTCCTCTCTATAATTAAAGAGTCTCCTTGCTTAACGATAATTATCTTTGAGATTTGCATTCTGTGGTTTGCCTTGAGATATCTTTAAAGCAATGTCATACTCTTCATACATGTACCACTACTGAGTTCTTGGAGCATTGCCCAACACTATCAGTTGGTTATGATAAGTCCTTCTTTATGTTAGAAATCCAATGGGCACCCCAGTAGCGTATCAGCCAGTCATGTCATTTAATGCTTACCAGGTGTTTTGAAGATTGCACATTTTTCTTACCAACAAATTTAGTGAATGGGATAAAATTGATTCTGACAGATGACTTAAAATATACTTAATAATAATAATAGATAATTTATTGCTTCCAGGCACAGATTCTGAAGTATAAGGTATTTTTGGTAGCTGTGGGTTTTAATCTTTTTTCTA